AAAAAAGTTGAAATTTGCCATTTGGTTCATTATAACAGGATCATTTATAAAAAGGGGCGTGTCAAAACACACTCAAAAGCCTATAAATCATAAATAAAAACTCAGAACTTCACAAAAATTGATGAGCATATGTGTCATACCATGGTGAAGAAGCATGCAAAGTTTCATGGAGATCGGACAATAGGTGGCGCTATAACTGTTGAAAAGCTTTAAAACCATACATTTCCTATGGTAAATTGCCTGTATTGGCTGTAAATGGTCTTTTCCATCTATGATCGTATAATTTTCATATCTTAATGTTTAAAACCAGTGCAGTACAATTATCTGGACTCTCTAGATCAATAATTATCAGAAAAGGTATAATTACTTCATTTGGATGGCTATAATAGAGTGTAAATCGGATGGCTATAACAGCTATAACAGCTTGGATGGCTATAACAGCCAAAAAGTGGTATTTTACTGCCCCCTGCTGTCATTTCATCATACTACTCTCTAATATTTTTATATATAATTGATATTTAGACTTTATTAAATCATTATTTTAACATTTACAATCACATTTTGTCAAAATTCATCTATTGCTCTGTACTCTCTAGAACAATAATTATAGGAAAATGTATAACTTCTTCATTTGGATGACTATAATAGGGTCACTTCAATATGTAGCCTTGAGCGAAAGCCAATATCTTTTCAATAAATGCTCATAGCTTCTTAAAAAAAGGTCAAGAACAGCTATAACAGCTTGAAAAAGGCTAACAGCCAATAAGTGGTATTTTACTGCCCCCTGCTGTTTAAAAAAAGTCATTTTGTCACACTACTCAACTATAATTAATATTTAGACTTTATAAATTCACTATTTTAACATTTACAATAACATTTAGTCAAAAATCATCTATTGAAGTGACAATTGAGTCACATTGGATCCTGAAGTTCCAAATGTCTCTATCTACATCAGAATGAGCGTGTGTAGATTAAATGATATGAAAAACATGGCCTATTGTATAAGTAGGCTGTAATAGCACTGTTGTCCACTAGATGGAGCAGCAGCATTAGACATTTTTAATCTTTTTTTATCAGCTTTCAGCATTGGCTAACAAACAAATGCTTAAAGCATTTTCTTTAATTAGTTTTATATTATTACATTGCAAAGAAATATGTGAAATGCTCATATACCATTAAAACTGATTTTCACAATAACATATCCCAAAAATGTGTGTGTGTGTGTGTGTGTGTGTGTGTGTGTGTGTAAGCGTGCATTATGGAGTTAACATGAAAAAAATGGTTTGCTTCAGTGGAGAATACTGGAGAAACAAAGTAGTTGAAAATGAAAGTGAGCCAATAAGTGGTCTTCTACTGCCCTCTGCTGGCCACTCTTCTTATTAATAGTCTTTTTTTGTATATAGACACTATAAAATCACTTATATAACAATTACTATTATAACACATTCATATTTTGTCAGAGTTTATCACTTCAATTGTTCTTATGCTTCATATAATTGCTATCAACGTGGTAAATCATGGTAAATAATGCCAGAAACATGGTAAATCATAGTAAAAAAGGTAAATCATGCTAGAATCCTGGTAAATTATTCTACAATGTGCTATATCATGGTAAATCATCATATAACATGGTATATCAAGGTAAACTATGGAAAATCATGTTAGATTCATGGTAAATCATACTGGAACATGGTAAATCATGAAAAATCACACTGAAATGTAGTATATCATGGTAAATCATGCTTGCTACATAAAACTTAATGTCTTTTGATGCTTTTGTGCTTAACGGCCTTAAAGGCCTTAACTGCTTGAACACCGCTAAATGCTGCTAGCAGCTTTAATTATTATTATTATTATTATTATTATTATTATTATTCTTCTGCCGTAAAACGCATCGTGCAGAACAAACCGTAAGTGCTGGAGCTCTGAAACTTTGTCAGATGGTAGTACAAAAATCGAGGAGAGCCTCAGAAAGTATGACCCCGATTGGCCTATAGGTGGCGCTACAGCAATCAATTGCGCGAAACTGCTCATAACTCTTAAACCGTATGTCGTAGACTCAAGTGTCTTATATCATTGGAAAGCTGGAGGCCTGAAGAACAAAACGTATATCTCCGATTTCATTTCCGGTATGCAAATTTTTCCGCCATTTTGAATTTTGTCAAAAACCTACTTTTGCGAACTAGTCCCTGGTTTTTCGCCCGATCAAAACCAGACAAATGCATACATGTTCTCTGGAGTCTGAATATCAATAATCATTGAAAAAAGTTGAATTTTCGATTCACGGTTGCTAGGGGGAGTAAAATGTTCGTTGTGGGAGGAGCCTATTTTACTAAAATGGCTATAACTCGAGAAGTAAATGAGATATCTTCACCAAACTTGGAACACATGTGTATGAGTTCAATCTGAGGTCACAGTAAAAAAATCGCGTCGACCTAACACTAGGTGGCGCTATAGCACACAAAAAACCTAAATGGGGCTATGACCACCTGACCGTTAGTCAGATTGACTTAAAAATTGGTATGCAGTGTCTTGGTCCAAGGTGCCATGTATGTGTATGAGGAAATTGGCGTAACTCAAAAAACATGGCCGCCATCGGCCAATGAATTTGAGCACCTATTAGACGAGGTTAACGGAGGCCAATCGGAACGAAACTCGATGGGCATGTTTGCCTCATGGCCCAAGAGGTCTGTAAGAGTTTTGAAAGAAATTGGCCACTAGTTGGCGCTAACAAGTTTTACGGCTCTGTAATCAGGTGGTGTTGCACACATCCCAAAAATATGCATATCATTTGATAGATCTCCTCAGGCTGAACAACTTTGCCTCTAGAACCATTGCTGTCAATCAAATCGTTCATTAAATATTCACGAATATGTTAAAAACCTACTTTTGCGAACTAGTCCCTGGATTTTCGCCCGATCGGAACCAGACCAGTCTAGGACAATTCTCTGGACTCTCTAGATCAATAATCATTGAAAAAAAGTTGAACTTTTGCATTTTATGTATGGTTATAACAGGGTCATTTAGAAAAGGGGCGTGTCAAATACACACAAAAGCCTATAAATAATAAATAAAAACTCAGAACTAAACAAAAATTGGTGAGCATATTTGTCATAACATGGTGAAGAAGCATGCAAAGTTTCATGGAGATCGGACCATACTTGGCGCTATAACTGTCAAAAAGCTTTAAAACCATACATTTCCTATGGTAAATTGCCTGTATTGGCTTTAAATGCTGATCTCTTGAATGAATGCTCAGATCTTCTTTAAAAAAGGTCAAGAACATGACGTAATATCACTCTGTACGGCATTGAAAAATTTCAGACAAATCAGACAAAATTTGCCTCTATAATTAATTGTCACAGGAAGCCTCAAAACGAAAGTAAAACATTGGGCCACGCCCCCCCAAGTACAAATTCACTCATAACTCGAAAACGGAAAGTCTCTGCCCGCTCAAATTTTGATGGTAAGGTCCTCTCGGGGATCTTGATCCAAATCTATCGTCGCGGGGCTCGGGAGCGCCCCCCCCCCCCCGCGGATCGCTAATCTGTGATAACCCCAACTTGAAACGGCTATAACTCTTGATCCAGACCATCTAGATCCTTGTGGAAGAGCTTGTTGGAAAGGGCCCGTCCTCATCTCGCTTCGATTCGAGTTTGGTGCGATTTGACCCAGGCATTGCCGAGATATAAGCCCACAAAGATATGCATTTAAACTGACATTACTCCCGCCCCCAATCACCCAGCAACACCGGGATGGTCTTGTTCAACAGAGCTCCTCTAACACTATCTAAGTTCTGAGTTTCAGATTTTTACACTTTCTCGTTCCCGAGATATAAGTAAAAAAAAAACGAATTTCCCGTCATTCATTTCAACCGTTTATGTAGGCTGTAAAACCGCTGTTGTCCACTAGAGGGAGCAACAGCATTAGACATTTTTAATCTTTTTAACCAGTTTTCAGCAATGGCTAACAAACAAATGCTTAAAGATATTTATTATGTTGGAAATAATATTTATAATAAATAATATAATATTAAATAATGATTTATTAGAAAGTTTAATATTTTTACATCACAAATAAATATCTGAAATGCTTAAGGACCACAAAAAGAGATTTTCACAATATCATAACCCAAAATTGTGTGTGTGTGTGTGTGTGTGTGAGAGCATGCATAATGGAATTCACATTGAAAGACTGGTTTGCTTTAGTGCACAATACTGATTAAACCAAGTAGTTCAAAATAAAAGTGGTACTATAGCAATAAGTGGTCTTCTACTACCCTCTGTTGGACATTATACTTATTAATAGTCTTTTCACATGTGCTTTTGCATTCATATATTTAGACACTAAAAAATAACCTTATGTGACAAAATACTATAATAACACAATCATATTTTGTCTTTCAATTCACTTTACTGTTCTGAAGCTTCACATAATTGCTAGCAACGTGGTAAATCATGGTAAATCACGATAGAAACATGGTAAATCACAGTAAATAATATTATTACATGGTGTATCATGGTAAATCATGCTAGCAATGTGATTAATCATGGTAAAGCATGATACAATCCTAGTAAATCATCATTACATGGTAAATCAAGGTAAACTTAAGACAAATCAAGGTAAACTATGATAAAGCATGCTAGAATCATATTACATCATAGGCTACTAGAATGTGTTCAATTGTGGTAAATCATGCAAGAACAGGGTAAACCATGGTGAATCATACTAGAACTCGGTATATCATAGTAAACTATGGTAAATCATACTGTAACATAGTAAATCATTAACAATCACACTGAAATGTTGTATATCATGGCAAATCATGCTAAAACATGGTCTATTCCATCTATGATGTCAGTGGTTAAATGCTTGCTACATAAACCTTAATGTCTTTTGATGCTTTTGAGTTGAACTGTCTTAACTGTCTTAACTGTCTTAAATGCTTGAACACCGCTAAATGCTGCTAGCAGCTTTAATTTGTTTTGTTTTTGGACTAGATCCAGGCTGGCAGACTTCCACATGAATTGCCAGACGACACCGCATTCAATAACAAGCTGTCCTAATGATAACTACCACGGTTGTCTGGTGTCCTACGTTGGACTCATTGGTGAGTGGTTATGGAAAAAATATAATAGCAATAATAAGAATTTGGAACTGCATTTTAATGAACTGAGTGTTTGGAACATGTATTTTGTCTTCCTTGGCTGTTTTAATTAGTGATGCATCAGGAATTTTACTTTTAAGAAAGATTATAAAGAACAGGAGAACTGATGAAGGCTGGGGGTATTCAAACAAGGGGTGTGTGTGTGTGTGTGTGTGTGTGTGTGTGTGTGTGTGTGTGTGTGTGTGTGTGTGTGTGTGTGTGTGTGTGTGTGTGTGTGTGTGTGTGTGTGTGTGTGTGTGTGTGTGTGTGTGTGTGTGTGTGTGTGTGTGTGTGTGTGTGTGCTTGTTTTCCTATCCCGGTGGGGACTTCAACCTGAATGCACACTGACTCATGGGACCTTGTGACACCGTGGGGACCTAAATTGAGGTCCCCATGAGGAGACAAGCCTATAAATCATACAGAATGAGTTTTTTTTATGTAAAAATGCAGAAAGTGTTCTGTGATGGGTAGGTTTAGGGGTAGGGTTACTGTAAGGGGATATAATATACAGTTTGTACAGGATAAAAATCATTACGTCTATAGAGAGTCCCCACAAAGATAGTAAACCAGACGTGTGTGTGTGTGTGGCAATTTTCAAAAAATAATCTAAAATAATTACTAGGTCTAGAGTGTAAATTAGGACTGCAAACCTTTAGAGAATTTTTTTAATTGCATCCTTTTAGCCTTTTATCTGGAATAAATCCTGGAGGGTTAAAAAACCAGGGTCATGCTGTGAACAAATGTATCTCTAGAAGAGAGCAGACCAACAACCTCTGGTCATTATACTGAGCCAAACAGCACATTATACTCCAGATAGCGAGACCTATAAACCAGCATGCTCCCATCTCATGAATATTTATGAGAATCTCTACCCTTGGCCTTACAGGATCAGATGTGACTCCAAACTACGTGGATGCCAGCCACACCAACATCACCATTTCCCCTTGGTGTGGCTGTCGAGGCAGTGGAAATCACGAAGCTGAGTGCGAGACCTTCCTCCGAGACTTCAGAGAGAACACTTGCCTGAGTGAGTGGAGATCAAATCTCACCCAACCTCACAACTCATGTTCTGAACAGCCATCCTTATGGGCTTAACCTAAATGGCATATCAATGAGAAATGCTATGTCTTATGGGCATGTGATCTCTTTTGCAGAGGGTCTGTTTTTTTCTACATGAAAGTGTCATGCCTTTTATATGCATGATTTCACATGTGTGCGTTTGTTTCGGTGTGCAGGAAACGCTATCCAGGCATTTGGTTATGGCACGGATGCGGGTCTAGTTCCCATTACAGAGTCTCAGTCGGCAGTCCCATCAGTACAGACCAATCTGCAGCCGGCTATCATCACCAAACATGTCATCAACTCCAATGATGTCAAGCAAATAGACAGTGCATGTGTTTACTCCACATGCGCTAACCTTCAGGTAGGTCTGAAAACGTTGTTGTCAATTGCATTGTGTTATGTTATTACCCAGTGATTCCAAGGCTAAAAATTAAGGAATTTAACCCTTGTGCTGCATTAGGGACATTTTTGGTCTTTTGCAGTTTAATTTCTTTGACCATTTTGGCTGTTTTAATGCAAATGGTATGTAATTTGGCAAAATTGTGACTTTTTAGATAAATGTAAAAAAAAATTATCCCATTTTGCAAAATATGTATAACACACTCTGTGTAGAACAAATAGTAACACTCAGCACCATAATGGACAAAAATGTCCCATTGAAACCCATTAAAACGTCGTTTAAAGCCGGGGCCATCATTAACACACGAATCATGATTTATGTTGAAACATCCTTTCATTTTGAAGCAAAAGCATTATATTTGCATTATATAGTGTATTCCACCAGATGACGTCACTACATAGGTATTACCTATGGGTGGAAATGCATGTTATTTTCCTGGTTTCCACTAGGGGCACTATTGACTGTTATGAAGCATTTGAATGGCTCAATGATCTAAAATTGTTTCTGAGTGTGGATGTCTGAGAGCAATGTGTGTCTGCGTTGAAGAAAGTGTGTGTGTGTGTAGGGCCTAAATATAATACATGGTGTTTAGGCGAGTGACAAATCACAATATCCTGAAGGTCATATTTTACCCTTTCTGTCTACTCTCTCTCTCTCTCTCTCTGTGTGTGTGTGTGTGTGTCAGTGGTGTATGATGTGTGTGTAGGCGTGTGCGTGTGTGTGTGTGTGTGTGTGTGTGTGTGTGTGTGTGTGTGTGCATTTAACAAGAGAATGCGCTTCTCACTGCATTGTTTTCTTTCGGTTTGATTCATGCGTATTTTACGCACAGACATGAACCTTTGACACAGCTTTGTTTTTTTTTAGCAGTCTATGTTTCAAAATTAATTGATAATTTCTCACATACGTAGAGGCACAAACACAGCCATGCAGTCAGTCCTTAGACAATAATAACACCTTTAATCTTGCGGCAACACAAAGATGTAGCTGCGAGGAATCCAAAACAAAGTCTGCCTTTGTTTTGGATTAGACTAGTTGAGAAATCATACAAGTGCGGTTGATGCAAAAGTTATAAAGCTGTGCACATCTTTGGTGCGGCAATTTCAAACTGAGCAGAAAATTCAGAGGCAAGTGGGTCTGCAGACACCCATGACAAGAGGAGGAGGGGGTGCAGTTTCTGCCCTAACAAAAAAAGAAAAATCTCCACCACCTCCTCAAAATGTGGCATTTACATCTGTAAGGAGTATGCATTGCAATTCTGCAGCTCCTGCAAATGAGCTGAAGAATGATTTTGTTTTGAAGTTTTGATATGTTTTAATAATAATAATAATAATTCATTACATTTTATATAGAGCTTTTCTAGGCACTCAAAGCGCTTTACATAGAAGGGCGAATCTCCTCAACCACCACCAATGTGCAGCTCCACCTGGATGATGCGACGGCAGCCATACTGCAAATTTGGCCAGGATGCCGGGGTTACACCCCTACTCCGAAAGACATCCTGGGATTTTTTGTGACCACAGAGAGTCAGGACCTCGGTTTAACGTCTCATCCGAAGGACAGTGCTCTTTGACAGTATAGTGTCCCACTATGTTAGGACTAGGGTTGGGTACCGAAACTCGGTGCCAATAGGGAACCGGTTCCGACGTAAACGGTAGTAACCAGACCGAATAAGAACGAAAATTTCGGTGCCTGATTTCGGTGCCTAACTTCATTAGGCACACACACACACACACACACACACACACACACACACACAAGGTCTCTCGCTCTCTCGCTCTCTCGCTCTCTCTCTCTCCGCCGTGCGTGTGCTACACAGTTTGGAGCACAGTTTCTTCTGTCTCGCATGCGCGCTCTTTCTCGCTAGGTTTGGCTGCATTTCACGTGTAAAATTACGCGTCAGAACGCCCTCTGGGTGTGCCGATAGTCTGAATCCCATATAGAATCAAGCCAATTCATTGGCTGATGGCGCGGGCGCCGCCTCGACGCACTTACGTCGTCATATTATGTTGTCGCGCGCGCGCCATCTGCTCCTCAGATTTCTCTGCCGAAAAAGGAAGCTGGTCGGCAGCGCAAGGAGCTTGGCAGCGTCCCGTTCCCTATTGAGAGATATGTTACACCAGTAACCAGCAGAGATGGGGACTCGAGTTTGAGACTCGGACTCGAGTGCGACTTAAGTCCCACACACAGTGACTTCAGACTCGACTTGAGACTCGTCCTCGAAAGACTTCAGACTCGACTCGGACTCGAGCTGCGGGACTCGTGAACAATGTTTATTTTTAGGAAACGTCTGATGAGCTCGCTGTTACCCCCCTCCCTCCGTTACCTATAACCTGCCTACGTAACCACGTACTACGTGGCCTATTGCTGGCAGCGCGCGCGCGACCATGAGAGGATAACAAACAAAAAGTTCGACTGCACCGGCCGCTGCTGTGCCATTCATCGTTAGCTTTAGGTTCAAAAACTTCAAACAAGACGCGCTCAAAAGAAGCGCTCAATGCAAATTATGCAGTATCACGATAAAAGATTCTGGCTCAACTACATCTAATTTTATCAGGCGTCTGAAAACGCACCCTGATAGGTGAGTAAACATGTTTAGCTCAGCATTGACCATCTACCGTTAGCTTGCTTATTGCTTTAGCTACCTAACGTTACGGGAGGTTAACTCCGATTGTCTTCCTTATGAAATATGAATGAGCGATTGTTTAATTGCCAAACTTGTGGTGGTCGATTAACGTAATGTTAATCATTTACGTGCCGCTGGCTGCCCGTTGTCTACAAACAGGTTACAGGATTATTGTTGTTTATGTAACGTTACAGTTTCATTTAGTTATAACGTTACACTGGTTTGAGAGTCTGGGATGTGTTGACTTACAGTATAACGTTAAGCTATGATTAGTTGCATAGGCAGTGCAGCCAGAAGAAGCCAGAAATGTTTTGTGGCCCATACCTAGTGAGTGTGTTAAGAGAAGAGAAGGTTAACCAGTCTGATCTCACCCTTTGGATTTTTTTATTTCTAAACATTTTGTTCTTAACAAGTTAACGTTACATGCCATAAGTTGGTCAGTTGCTTCACATTTACACTAAAGATTTTGAGCATTTGAATGTTTTGGAAGTGCACTGTAGTGTTAATTTCATTTGGACGCAATAGTTTATTTGCATTTAGCTACACTGATATTTTGCACTAAATAGGAGTGTGTCAATTTTAGTGTTGTGAGTTATATCATTTTCTATATTTGGTCTTATGTCTTGGAATGTTCAAGCTACAAGGCAAAATAAAGAAATTAACTAGGTCCTAAAAGTAAAGCATTCTTGGTGTTTTTGTCATGTTGCAATAGCCTGTTTACACTGCTTATATACCAAAATCAAAGCTGATACTGTATGCTAATAGATAAAGGAGTCATAATAACATATGGTACCACTTTATTTTGATAGTCCACTTTATACATTCGACTAACTATAAGTAACTTTGCAGCTGCATGTCAACTAACTCTCATTAGAGTATTAGTAGGCTTAATATCTGCTAATTATGTATTATAATATCTTATTTTGTTGGTTCCCCAACAGATATTCTACTGACTATAAGTAACTTGGCAACTACAAGTCAACTTGTTCTCCAAACCCGAACCCACATCATAACCTGACAGTCTACTAATACTCTAATGAGAGTTAGTTGACATGTAGTTGAAAATGTACATGGTTAGTAGAATGTCTAAAGTGGACTATCGAAATAAAGTGTAACCTAACATATTACATGCTTCGAATTCCTTATATAAAGTTATGCAGTGTTCTAAGCAACCTGGATGGGTCGCTGTACGTGATGCAACACTTATAACCACAAGAGACTTGAGACTTGACTTGGACTCTAGCTCAAAGACTTGAGACTTGACTTGGACTTTAGCTCAGAGACTTGAGACTTGACTTGGACTCTAGCTCAGAGACTTGAGACTTGACTTGGACTCTAGCTCAGAGACTTGTGAGCATCTCTGGTAACCAGAGATGTTCTCTTTCATAGGTTCACTCAACGCTGCGTAGCTTAGAAGCAGTGGATTTGTAGGCTGCTGTATCACGTGCCGTTTAAACTGACGCGCTACAGCGATCTGTCACATTTCAAAGAGCCAAAACGTTATTTATTGTGTGAATCTCGTAAAAATATTGACAGAATCTGACAGCTGTGGATTTGTTCCATATCAAAAGTAACCTTCTCTGTCTTGTCTGTCAGTGTCCTCTTTGTCCGCGATTTTTCTGTGTGAAAAGGGTCATTTGCGTGAGTCTCACGGTCAATGCGTGAGAGTTGGCAGCTCTGCCTGCTAGTAATCTCTATTAATCTCCAGTAGTATTACATTGTTTGATACAATATTGTTTCATTTGATATTATGTAAATATGAATTTTTATTTTATATTGGTTTTATTATTACCATATGTTACTTGTATTTACAGTATATTGTTTAAAGATTTAAGTTAATATTGTGTCCAGTTTGGCCCTGTAAATTAAAGGGTATTATTTTTTGATAAAGTGTGTGCGGTTTCATTTTCTTAAGTACCGATTTAAGAACCGTTTAAGCACCGGAACCGTTTAAAAAATACCGAGTAGGTAATGGAATCGGATAAAACCCAAACGATACCCAACCCTAGTTAGGACCCACACAGAGCACAAGGAGAGCACCCCCTGCTGGCCTCACTAATTTTATATTTATAGAATTAAATTGTTTATAGAAAAAATAAAAATTCATGTTCATGGTGATCTTGTAGTTTTTCTTTCTTTCTATAGCAAATTTTGATGTGTGGTGAGAGAGAGACAGGCACAGGTTATAATCACCTAGTAGAAATCAGGAAAATGTTTGCAGTACTACAGATGTTTGCAGTATGTCAATTATATGACAAATTATGGTACCAACTGGTGGAAAACAGTAAAAAGTAAATATTTTACCCCAAGGCTTGGTAATGACAGGGTATTTGAATAG